TCACTTGACAGCCCTGTTATTGTGGTTGGGTTTCAGTTCTGTCCTTTTAGTTCACAGCTCTTGCTGCAAGTTGGATTATTTTGGGCTTGCTTATGGGACTCATTGCAGCTGAAAGATTTATTTTAATGAGAAAAGCCTTGCAACCAAATGAAGCCTCCTGAGAAACGCACACCCTCTGGTAATTCACAGGGTTCTATGCTACATTGCTCTTTTCCATCAGCAGGCAGATCTGAAGGCTCCCCCTTCCCACACCAGACCTTTCTGAGAAAGGGGGAGTGAATGTGGGTGCAGGTTTGTCCCTCTGGGTGTTACAGGTTCATCAGGCACAACAGTTACAGGTTACTACTGGCATAACGAGGGTTATTTGAGCAATTCCCCCTAGAAGATAAATGTCATCAGTGTATGTTAGTCCTGAACTGCAGTACCCCTGCCTTTCTCTTGCTGTTGCCATGCAAAGCTCTATTTCTGGTTATGTTTTTGGCTTTGCAGGAGCCTTGCTACCTTTGCCACTGTACCTGTCAATTAGCACTCTTTATTCCCAAGCTCTAGCATTCCTACTACTTTTCAGTTCTAGGAATTACCCTTGCTTCTGCTCATGGGTAGATATTTTCTCCTTTCCTTTGATCATGGCAGAGTACTATGGGTCCTGTATTTAAAGAAGATAGAAAGAAGTTGTTGGTAATAAGCATGGAGTGCTGACAAGTCCTGTACATAAGGCCTTGTACTGTAATTTGTGTCTTCGTGTCAACAGAGCATTAATCTTTTTTAACACATGTTATGTATTTATAGCTGTGAAAATGGGGCGGAAGTGGCCACTTCTACTTCCCAAGGTTAATGGTTTTCAAAATTGCAATAAAAGGTTGGAGGGTACCTCTTGGCATCAGACCTGCCCAATCTGATACTTGCTCAGTTTTTCTAGGCTGGTGGTCTTCAATTCAGATTGGGAGGTCTTTCAGTGCAGTCTGCAGCCATAGAAAAAAAAAATTAAAATGGAAGAGATCAGGAAGAGGAAAATTCCTGGCAGATATGGCTTGCCCATTACTGTTTCTCACAAGCCAATTAATCTTGTGACCCCTGCACCTCCACAGTCTTTGGGCAGGGCTTTTTTCCAAGTCACCAGCATTTCATATCTGAATTAGATATATCTGTTTCCTATTGTCATATATTTCCCATCTGAAACAGGGGTGACTCTGGAAACACAGGAGCCTTTCTTCTCCCTGCTCGCCTGATCCGTGACGAGGATGGCAGGTGCAGAGCTCCAGGAAGCAAAACCATTTGCGTTGGTGCTGGAAGGTTCCTTTCCCTTGCCTGGATGAAGTTGCTTTCTTTGGACAGGATTTGTGGTCAGGGTAAACAGCTGTATGTGCCGCAGCGGGCAGCTAAGGGATGCTTCTTGTTTTGAGAATCAATACTCAAAATGCTTCTGGGCGGGAGGAAGGAGAAAGGCTGGGGAACACTGGTCAGGCCAGTCTCTGTGGAGAACCTAGTTAAAAATTCAGGTCCTGACAGGGCAAAGTGTTGCCACAGCTGCCCTTCCAGGATATCTTTGGACTAGCAAACCTCAAGGAAGGGCTCACTAGAGGCTGTGCAGAACTAAAGAGCGAGGAAAAGGTAAAGATCTGTGAAATTGCCTCCTGTGTCTCTTTCCCCCTCTCCTTGTGAACCCCAGAGAAGCTGTTGCTCTTTCCTTCCAGTGGGTGGCTTTCTGTAGGAGACTTCAGTGGCTTCAGCCTGAACTTGGCTTCTTTCAGTCAGGAAATAGCCAATTCATGACAGCAGCAACCACAGCAATCTGCATCCATCCCAGAAGTCATGCAAGAAACAGCCAGTAACATCTACAGTGCCAAAGCTAGGAGGCAGAAAGGTGGAAAAGCAACGTGGAATTGCAGCCTGGAAGGTTCTGCCTGGGGTTGAGAGAAACCAAGGGAAGGAGAGGGTGCTGTGTTTGCTGCCTGCACAATGGGAACAGCTTCTTGCTTCCCAGCCAAACATTTTCCAGACTCTGCTCTGGTGATGCAGCTGAACAAAAGGCTGTCAGATTTGAGCCTTTTGTCTGGCTGCCTGGCCTGACGGAGACAAAAGGAAAGGCTCCTTCTTCCACGAGACTTCTGGTTCAGCAAGAGGCCAGCACCTCGGCTGCTGTAGATCAGTGCTGTCTTCGTTGCGATGCCCGAGAATCTGGCAGCAGGTTGTCAGCTGAGGGACATGGCATCGTAGGAGCCTTTGCTGCATGCAGGTGCTTATGGAATTGGGCTAATGCAAATACCTGAGGCTTGCAAAGACAAGCCTATGTTTTTGCGTTAGGGTTACAGTTGGACTGGACATGTGAACGTAGAGGCTATTGACATAGCTCAGCTGATGAGTGTGGGAACTTGGGCTGTGAGTGACTGGGTGTATCTAATTACCCACAAACTTCCCCACTTAATATAAATGACGGAATTGAAATTTGCAGTGAGATTTTACAGGGTTCTTATCTGAAGATGTTTTTTTAACTTTTCCCTAGAAACAAACCAGCAGTTATCTGGATCTGTTAGGCTTTTTTCATGGTCAGATTATTTAGTAACAATAGCACCAGTTTCTTGGACTTTCTTTGGAAGTGTCTGGTTCTGTCTGCTGCTGGAGATGGGATCCTGGACTAGATGAAGTTCTGATCTGATTTAGTCTGGATGTTTCCAAAATTTTGCTTGTTGCGGGGTATAATTATTTAATGTTTGTTTAGATTTTTGTTATAATGCCCTCCTCTTTCCTGAAACACAGTCCCCTCTGGGGTAGAGGAAATCTGTCTTCTGGTATACTAGATGGTACAGAAAAATGTCAGAAGGAAAAATTCAAGTGGGGCAATTAAGTTTATCTCCATGGAGTGTCATGGGAAGGCTACTAGCTTGTATTTTTAAGCTCTCCTATGAGAGTCCCACATATATTTAGCTCTGTTCTACAGATGGACATTTAAGAATGGTAAGTTTTAATTCCCTTTCTCCAACATTTTCCACTTGATGACTAATTTGATGGTATTGTTAAATCCATTAAACACTGTTAATCAAAACCACCAAAATCTAATGACAGAATGCAAGCAAACAGAAAGCTTTACCATATTTTATTTTTTAGCATGTATACTAGCAACAGGTACACTGACTTTATACTCATGTAATTTTCCTGCAAGACTTGTATTAAAAGACTGCTGGCTAATTTAGTCATCTACATGGATTGGGCTGTTAGGCCTGCACAAAGCCAGATTCCAGTAGAGCCATATTCCAAGTCTAAAGCAACATTTACGCCTTTCATACCCATATCTGAAGGTGCTTTATGGAACAGGGTGTTGAATACTCTGATTCAGTGTCTCTTACTATCCTGTCCTGCTTGAAAATAATTTTTTCCACTGGAAATTAATTGCTTTTTTTTCAGAACTCAGACTTGGATTGATGTGGAAGAGAAATGTCTTAATGCTTACAGAGTCAGAAGAGCAGATTAATTTAAACCAGTTTAGGGCCTGTTCTAAGCAGTTCAGCCAGCAGCCGAATTAAGCTGTTCCTACTACCGGTGAAGGTTGCTGCCCTCTCCAGGTTAGGCTGGTAAAAAAAAGGTCACCTGCTTAAACAGTGGCATGGGGGTGTGATTCCATTCCATGCTTGGTTAGCCCTGCCAGTTCACGGAGTCTGTCCCCTCTGAACACCCTGCAGCATCTAAAGAAGTAATCCCCTAAATTGAAAAAATGTCTGTCTCTGGTCTGCAGATGCAAACTAAGGCGATCTGACCTTTGACTGGTCTGTGAGCGTATGGACGTAAAGGCTGTGTGTAGATTTTTCTTTTGTAAAGCAGTGTTTGAAGTTTAAGAATTTACTGCTGCTTTCTCTGCTGTTTGTCATTGATCATTTTCAGTGGCTGACTCTGCTAATAGTCCTGATCATTGCGGGACACGGTGACGTGGGTTCTATAGACCCAGTTAAATACATCAGTACAGGCTTTAGGAACTGCTTAATTTAATGTAATAGTCTTTCCCTTGAGCAAAGACTGCTGAAAATTCAGTCGTTGCTTGACGTTGTTGCTGTCTCTTGGCACTGCTATCAGGGCTGGTATTATCTCGTGAGTACGCAGAGGAGAAGAGCAGCAGCGTGTCAGGTCTCTTGTGGTGAAGGTTACTGCGGAGCGTTGGCTGTTTGCCTTGGTGCCAGTCAAGCAACTACGAGCACGGTTCAGTTCAGGTATGAAGGGCTGAAAGCAGAAATTCTAAAGCTGACCCAGCTTTCCGTGTTCTGGCCTCTGTGATAGGGAAACCTGCTCCCCGCTTCACAGTATTCTGGGGCTTTTAGTTGCGTTCTCGGCTCTTTTTCCTGCACTGCCCTAAGCTCCCATATATTCAATCTTAGTCATTATTAGCCTTTTGCTAAGAGAGCTGCTATTAAGCCCTAGCTTACAAATCACAGGACAGAGTAAATATTGTTTTCTAGATTGTCTTCTGAGACTTGAGCTTGAAATAAAACCATATGAGGAGACAAAGATCAAAAAAATCACTGAAGGCAACAGAATAAATCCAGTCCCAAGCAGACAGCTGGATGAGTGTCAAACAAAGGAAGGAACAGCTGGATCAAGTAAAGCACAAGGAAAATTAGTTCCATCCCTAGGGGGAGGGAGAAAGATTGTTTCACGAGCCCAGAGCTGTGTGGGACCAACTTTACCCGATAAAACTTTTACATCAAAGTCAGGGCAGATCAGAAGGTCCCAGAGGGAGGGGAAAGAGAAGAGTGGGTGTTTGTAGTAATTGTGCAGAAAGTGTTAGGGAAAGGAAGGAGGTGGAGTGTGAGTGTAGGGGGAGAGCTGAGTGGGGAGGTGGGGAATTGGAAGTTGTAGGTGGAGTAATTCTGCAGAGTATGAGCTGCTGTCCACAGCTTTCTGGATGTAAATTGATGAGGTCATAGTGTTTTCCAGTTTAAAAAAAAAAGTTTTTTAAAAAAAAAAAAAGTCTTCAACTTGTTTTTCAAGAGCGACGAAAACGCAGCGAAGCTGAAGAAATGGAACAACTAGCAAAACTCCTTCTGTGGCAGATTTTGCTTCAGCAAAGTAAGCTCCTAGCTGATCGGCACGATGTTACTTGTTTTTATTGCAGCTGCAGAGGACGGGGCTGGAGGTTAGCTAGAAGATTTCGAACTGTTATTTTTGTAAGATTTTGTTCAGATTCCTAAGTTAGCTATGTTTTCGTCCGTGAGGGGAGGGAGTCGTGGATTTCCTATGCTTTTTGGAGAGGAAGGGGGAGAGAATGAAGAAATGTTTGAGGTTGTTTAAGTGGTACTCCATTCAGCATATTTGTGCAGTCTGTTTTTTTCCCATCGGTTAATCTTGATCAGCAAATTCAAAACCAATATGCTTGAATGTGAGTACAGTAAAGCTTGCATAGTTAGATTTACATGATCTAAGGTTATTTTATAGTTTTGAATAGGCAGAAACAGCTGGTACATGTGTGTGTGAGAGAGTGTTCAGGATGGAGGAAAAAATTAAAGTGTGGGGTTGGTTTTGGGGTTTTTTTTTCCCCCCATCAGCATAAAGACAGAGACATAGGAATTCACTTCTGGGTAAGGTGCAAGAAAGGGATGAGGACAAGTCTGATGAGCTTACAATAACAGAATGGCTTTTACCTTTTCCTTAAAAATGGAGTTTTCTGTAAGAGCTGAAAGCAGATTCGGGGTCCTGAGAGCCTGGCCCCAAGGTAAACAGAGAAACCCTGGTAAGACTTGGATGGCAGAAGATTTGAGGGTTAATTGCAAAACCTCAGCAAATCCACACTTGTAAAACTTTGGGCTCTAAGGAGGGCACTTACGAGCAAAGGACCCATTAACAGCTTAAGAACAACATGGAGAGACTTCATTCAGGGTGCTGACAGTAGGACGTGAGGAGCACAAGTTTTTTGGGGACTGGTGACCCCCCCCTGCTCTTCACAGCCCTGTTAATGACAGGCTGTGGCTAGCCACCTGCGCCTCTCAAAATTCCTCGGTACATCGCTGAAGAGTTCTCAGTCTGGTCCTTAATTAGTTTCCATGTCACCACATCATCCCCAGTTTTGCAATGCCTGAAGGCAAGGTTTAGGAATTGGCAACATAAAGGATCAGTCATAGGGACAGAAGGGTTAAAGTGGTTCAGAAAACTAGCATGTGGGGGTGGCCTGGAGAAGGAGGAGAGGCCACATACTGTATTTCAGAAGCACCAACCAGTCCAGCTAGTTGCCAGTGTGGTTTAGCATGTTGGCAGAGCTTGGGGAGCACCATGGGCAGGAATAGCAGGTTGGGTTGCTGTAGAGCAGTGAGGGGGCTGTATAGAGGCAACAGTATCCCAGCTAAGGGTGGATGATCTCTAACAGACTTTTTTTCAGTGTATTTTGGAGAGAGAACTGTCCATATGCCAGGCAGCCCTGGTTTGAGTCCTGCTATCCCCACACAAATCAGGTTATAATATGAGTGAAGATGGGAAGGGGAGAAGGGAGGAAATCTATGCCGTTCCATATTTGCTGAGATGATCCCTTCTGGAGAGGAACCGCACCCTCCAGTGTTAATATCTTGCAGGGAGGAACAGCGCTGTGTTTGGAATGGCTCTACAAACAATTCTGTGGGCCTAGAGCCAACGTGAAGTACACAAAGCAGAGAAGGGCTTATAAAGCTGAGCTAGTATCTGAACTGTCTGTGAGAACGTTAGGGCAATTCTGTGAGGGATCTGTGATTAAGCAGTGGCCAAGATGGCGATTGGTTTCTTGTACAAACACAAGGCTTCTTCCTTTCTGCCGAGGTAGCACATTCTTGCTTTCTGCAGATTGACGGGCATGTTCCTACCTGCAGCGAGGTGTTGGAATTGTTGGGACTAGATGGGTAGTTAAGGGCTCTCCAGTCCTCACATCCTTTTTGAAAGCAGAAGACTCTGCTCTTGAGAAAGCTGTCCCAGGAAGCCTGTAAAAATAAACAAACACAGGGACTTAGATAAAAGCCCAATTCAAAGCCTGGCTTGACCATCAGTTGACTTTGTAAGGGAAACCTCATTTTACTGAAAAGCTTAGTCTTGCAGTCCTAGGCCAGCAGGGGCAGGTGGTGAATGGGACAAGTCTAGGTGGAACTGTGTTGCTCACTGTCTCCCTCCTTTGCCTCTTTGAGATGGACCCAGATGTTATTGCTGGTCACTGGTCAGTGGGTTTTAAAAAATGGATACCAGAAGAGAGCTGAGCTGATTTGTGTAGCTGTCACCTTGATGTTACTGCATAATAAGCCATTGTGGCCTCTTGTATGCTGGGTCAGCTCCCTAAAGAGTCAGGATGGAGCCACTGCTGTTCTCCAACAGCAGTTGGAAATAGCTTGGTAACACAGGCTGCTGTTTTTGCAATAATTGTGTAATGGCTCTACAGAGACCATTAAATCCCCTGCATAGACAGTGAGATTTATGAGAGAAATAAGGAATCTGACACATACAGATTTCGTGAGAACATGTCCTTTCTCTAGGACTAGACCACCCCTCTGTGCCTCTAACGTAAAGGCGATGTTGTTTCCTCTTCAAAAGAAAAAAGAAGCTGAGACAGACTAGGAGATACTAGAGAAGGTGTGTAAAGGAATGATGAGCTCAGCTTACTTAGGCAAGTGGAGTGTCAACCTCACAGACTGTTGTTTCAACCCCCACACCTGGTGGGTTATGACACTCATTTCTCCAGTGACTTCTTACTTTGTTTTCTTGCCCACTCACCACTACAGTCTGGACTTCAGTGATGCTTATTGCGTTGTAAGGCACTGTTCAGGCAGCTTATCCTCGCTCTGCTGACATCAATGGCAGAAGCACTGCAGGTAGAGCTGGTGGTGTCACGTCCCATGGAGTCTATGTGCCACGTGGCACTCAGGCTACCACTTACGGTGTTTGCGGTTTCCTTTTCTGCTCTGGTAGTCTTTCATCCTCCAGTATGCGACAGGAACTTAATGGTTTCATTAGCATGTGCATCTACCTGTGAAGCAGACCCTCTGCCAGCAGCTATCTCCAGGAGGAGAGAAGTTCAGGCAAGACTCAAGGGACAGTTTTCTGTTTGAACTGCTGCAAGGACACTGCCTGGAGAGCTCCGAGTATGTGAGATACCTTTCAGACCCTGAGGCTTTTACTTCTAGTTTGCCTGCAGTTTTGTGGCTTAATTCTTCACTTGAAAAGTGGATGGGATTCAAGAAGTAAGAGTTGGCTCTGCCTTTTACAAGGGATTAGGAAACACTTTTGCAGGCTGCTTTCCTCTTCCTATATTGTGGGACCAGCAGAATACCTCTGGGATCCTGCTGGGAGGCATGCTGAGTCTGCACAGAACATGTCAGGGGACAGCATACAGATGGCTTTTTGGGTTTAATCAAAGTGATTATCCATCACACTGAATTTGAAATTTCAAAATGAAAGCTACAGCAAGTTCTGTGTTGACAACTATTAAGGTATTTGGTGGTTTTGAAGCTCCAGGTCCTGGAGTCCTGTGATTACAAAAGCCTGAGCTTTCACTAGGCTCATAAATACTCCTTGATTTTACAGTTGCAGGTTGGGAAGTGTGACTCACCAAATAACTGCTTCCCATTTACCCCAATCCTGTAGTTCATAAGCTGTCAGCTTTGCTGCGTTATGGGTTATATCTGCCTTTGTTCAGTAGCTACCACGTTACACAAACAATAACTTTAAGAAGCATGGCTGGGGGACATGTCTTGTTTGCTCTGCTTGTCTCACATAGCAGAGCTAGGTCTCAGCAGAGGGAGGAGACTGAAAAGAGAAAAAGGCTTATTCCTTCTTTAACTACTGCTCTATGTTTGGGTTATTGAAGGTCAGTTGTTTTAAATTCCATTTTCTCCAGGCATACAAGAGATCAGAGACATTCCAGATTCCTTAGATTTCTAAGTGATCTCATTTACAGCTATGTCAGATAAGTTTGAGTCTCATCCATGACCTGATGTATGTGTGCAGATTTCCAGCATTGCTGGGGAACCGGCACAATCAGTTCTTCCTTCTTTTTCCTGTGGTGTTCCCATGCCTCTTGTAAAGACCTGTCCTTTCTTTCCCTGCTAGAACTTTACTTACTGGCTGCTGTGCTGCTGTCTTTTTGATATTCGCACCTACCATTTTGTCTGAGACTATGAATGATACCCTGGGGCAGGCTTCAGACCCAACGCGGCTGTCCAGAATCTGTGTGTGTCTGGATGTGAGTGTGCACAGACTTGCAATGAAAACCCCTTTCTCCTCTGTGCTTAATTCCAACACAAGGCTTAGCAAAGCCTTCATCTTGGATGGGTTTTGTTCTAGTGCATAGCTGTAACCCTGGGCCGTTCAGCTTTGTGTGGCAACACTCAGCAAGTCAAACCAGCAGTATGGTAAAATGCAAGAGAGGCATCAACAGATTCTTCCCTTTTCCCAACAGGAAGCAACATCTCCTGGTCACGGAGGGGCAGACCTAGAAAGACCCTGGAGTGTAATTGTCAAGTAAGCGAGAGTGCTCCTGCCCTGCTTCTTAGGGAGCTGCTAGCAGAAGCTTTAAAGTGGAGGGAAAAAGAAGCTGTCAAAACCCACAAGACATAAGCTTTTCTTATCTAAAAGCTGTTACATTGCAGACAACTTCACCGCTTCCTTGTTTTACAGAGAGTTGTGTTTGGAAGCGTGCTGGAGAAATGCCTGCAGCTGGCTGAAGGGGCTTCAGCAGCCTGGGCTGGCAAAAGGCCCCTGTGGGTGGGAGAGGGAGTTAGGGCCTGGCTGGTCCTTACCATGCCAGTAAGGCCAGCTCAAAGATACAAACCCAGGGGTTGGTGCTATCGTTAGCTGAGGGCTGGACATGTTGAGCGGAGCACATACGAAGGCTTAGGTGGATGCTTTTGTCAGTTGTTAGATCTATGATGCTGCATTTGGGCTGTGTGGTTTTTACATTAACTTGCAAGAGGAAAAGAGAAAAGTAAATGCATTCCTCTTGCTGAGCCAGGAGAGGATGTTTCTGTAGCACAAATCAATTTGCTGTTAATGAGCAGTAATGCAAGACTCTGGAAGCACTGGCTGTGCAGGCAGCCAGCTCACAGACACCACTCCCTCGCACGCAAGCTGCTGTTCGTGTTGTGATACGGTGGTGTTCCCTTGCCACGGGGCGAACACCACCGATTCAAACACATGGGCGTTGCTTTGTCACACTGATACAAGCGGATGCTGTTGCGCTGGGAGCTGGTTGTCCTGTCGCAAGTGAGACTGATCTCTCCTGGAGAAGGCTGATTTGGTGCTGTAAAAGAGCTTTGTGTCATTTCTTTGTTGTCCTAAGCTAAACCTAAGTCCTGGCTTCCAGCGGCAGAGGCTGGCAGCTTATCATATTTTACCATCAGGCATTTTGCAGCCTTATTAGGCGAGATCATCAAATAATGGAATTATAATGTCATGTGTATTATATCTCTTTCTTATATCCGGAGAAGTACAGAGTTTGTGTGAGATATTTTTTTTTCTTTGTGATGCTGTCGAAATGTTGAAAAAATAACTTACATTTGGAGTGTCTTTGAACTAGCAGTTCAACAGATGCTGCTGCTCATTTTTGTTCTCTGGTGTCACAGCCCAGTGTTTTGTGATAGGAGAAGGAAAGGAAATAGAGTTTATTCTCAGCCCATGCACTGGGGGTGTGGCTAAAATAGCTCCAGTGTGGAGTTAATTTATTCTTTTCTGAAATGCATAAATTCCAGGGCTGAAAAAATCAAAATACAGCCTTTGTGTGGAGGACATTGTGCCTATGACATTAGCAGGACAAAACTTCTAATGATCTTGCTGGAACCCACTTAGGTTTGACTGGTTAGAGAGATGAATCATGTCATTGTGTTGGGATTCTAAGTCATGCTCTCAAAGCATAATGCCAGGAGATGTCCTAGACCCCTCCTACACAAAAATCAGGGGGGGCTGGAGCAGGGAAATGCAGAAATAAGGGCGTTAGTTCACTTCTTGCAAAGTTCTTCCTGCATAGATCTGAGCTATGAGAGTTGCAGTTGCATCCAGAGCTTTACAGTGTTAACCGTGCAGACCAGGAACGTGAGTGGGAGAGACTCTAGGGGGCACGTTCCCCAAGTGAGGATATATTTGCCCAGCAGAGTGCTGACAACACTGTGTATCACAAGTGTGAAGTGGAACCGCCGAGTAACGTCACTCCTCATTTGACAGGTAGACTCAGCATCCTGCAGAGCTACAGAATTCCCTCAATGCATTAATCCCACCATCAATTTTATAGGGGTTTGAATTCTTGGAGATGAAAGTTATCTTTTGGCCCTCAATCTAGTGCATCAGCAGCGTGGATCCACTTGCCTCTACTTGGGCAGCTCTAAGCCCTAGCAAATGAGCTGGGGTCAGCTCTGTCTCCAAGCCTATTCAGGGCTTTGCCTTAGCAGAGAAGGCTGAGTGAGATGTGGGTGTCTGCTGGGGAAGAGATGGAAGTGAAACAGTCACATTTAATTTCACAGTAGTCAAACAGCACAAAAATGAACATGGTTTTAACTGGTCACATCTGGGAAGTACTAGTCTCCTCTGGTGAGACCCCACCTGGAGTACTGTGCCCAGCTCTGGAGTCTTCAGTGCAGGACAGACATGGACCTGTTGGAGCAGGTCCAGAGGAGGCCACAAAAATGATCCGAGGACTGGAACACCTCACCTGAGAGGAAAAGCTGAGAGAGTTGGGGTTGTTCAGCCTGGAGAAGAGAAGGCTGTGGGGAAGGACCTTATTGTGGCCCTTCAATACTTAAAGGGGGCTTTGTAAGAAAGATGGAGACAGACAGTAGGGCCTGTTGTGATAGGACAAGGGGTGATGGTTTAAAAGAAGGTAGGTTCAGACTAGATGTGAAGAAATTTTTTACAGTGAGGGTGGTGAAATGCTGGCACAGGTTGCCCAAAGCAGTGGTAGATGTCCCATCCCTGGAAACATTCTGAGCCAGGTGGGACGGGGCTCTGAGCAGCCTGATCCAGTTGAAGATGTCCCTGCTCATTGCAGGGGGGTGGGACTAGATGGCCTTTAAGGTCCCTTCCAACCCAAAGCATTCTATGATTCTGTGAACTGTTCTTGCCCTGCTGTTTCTGCTGCTGCCTTGCTATTTATGCAGGACTAATATCAGATCCTACTGGTGCTTCCCTTCCCCCTGCCTGCTCCTGCCTCTTTGGGTTCTTGGTTTTGTCTTGCACAACATTTGTCAAGTAGTTTCCTCACAGGCAGAAGAGGCCTTTCAGTCAGTTTTGGTGAGTGATGCATTCACAGATACCTTTGGTGTAACATTTGAATAGCATGGTGGAAAAAACTCTGTGACTGTAGATGATAATGAAATAAAGACTTGGACTGTATGAAATTCAGTTGCAGGCTAAGCATATCCCACATTGCTCTCAAGCTTAAGTTTGTTGGTCTGTCTTTTGCTGTAAGTGCACAGTGTCTGCTGCAGCATGGACCGACCGAAGTCTGAGCCTCTGGGCTTAACCACGATACACGTGTTAAATAAGTATATTAACAGAGAAGGGAGGAATAGATGGAATAATAACGGAGGAGGTGGCTGCTGACTATGAGTGTATTTGTAGTTTTTTCTTCCTTTTGTTGTCAGTAACATTCTTTTTTTTTTTTTTTCTGCTTTGACAGGTTCTGTTTGTTTATATTCAGGTGAGTGACATCTTTGTAACCTGCCTGGTTTTGTGATCATGAGAGGAAATGAGAGGGACCCTGATTCCATGATATGCAATGGGGGTTTCCTTGCTAACTTCCATCGGCATGACCCATGCATCCCATGAACTAGTGTCTCTAAACTTTGATTAAACTGGGGGTTAGGATTAGGAAGGGTAGGTAGGACAGGTCAAATCTGTGATCCTGATAACAGACATCATAGACATTGCTTTCACTGAATGAAATCAGTGTTTTTAATACTGTTCTATTTCTCCATGAGAGAGCTCTATGTTGGTCTTGAAAGTTTCTTTTTTTGGGGTGGAAAGTGTGCAGAGATTCTAGGACAGGTCTGAGTCCTGTTCTAATGTCTTCTTCACGTGCCATTAATCTAGTAACTCTGGTTTTTGTTCTTTGCTCCTGGCTCTCAGTCCCAGCTGATGCCTCAAACCCAGACAGCGTTGTAGTGTCAGTGTTAAATATCAGTGCTACGTCGGGGTCACAGGCTGTCCTGCCCTGCAAGAGTTACCGCATAGTGTGGACCCAGGATCGTCTGAATGACCGCCAGCGTGTAGTCCACTGGGATGTGTACAGCAACTACTATGGAGATAACAGGACGGAGAGGCTATGTGACATGTACTCAGCCGGAGATCAGCGCGTATACAGCTCCTACAACCAAGGGAGGATATTCATGTCCCAGAATGCATTTATTGATGGCAACTTCTCCTTGGTGATCAAAGGTACTAAAGGGCGTCTTTTCTCCCTATGCTGTCTGAAAAATGGAGGATTCACAACTAAATTAACTTTGTGTTCTTCTGTGAAAATGGCTATTTTACAGAGCATTTTCTATAAATAAGTAAATATCAGTCTAATGAGGTTAATGAGGTTCTTTGAAGCACTGGCAATAGTGTTGTATTTCCCTTTGACTGTATTTCAGTTCCTGAACTATAAACCCAAGACTGCCATTCTCCCTATCGCTGCTCTTAGCTAAATCAGCTTAGAGAAAGCTTAAATCAGCTTTCTCTTTCCATCTGTTAATAGAAATACATTCCACACAAGAGCAAATAAACTGAACAAATTAGGTGTGATGGTTCTTCTTTGTTTAGCCTACCTTGGGGATAAGGATGGGTTAGAACCAAGTTATACGAAGGGCCTTTTGCATCCATACAAGCATTTGGGAAACAGTATAAATGACAACAGTCATCACTGTCTCAGCATTAAACATTCAACTTCCCCTCTCTTCCCTGTTGTATTAGATGTTGCAGAGAGTGATGAAGGCACATATTCCTGTAGTCTTCACCACCACTACTGCCACTTATACGAAACTGTGAAAGTCCGACTAGCTATCACCAAGAAAGGTAGGTGTGGCAGACAGCTTGGTGTTCCTTTCTGCAGGGGACCTGCTTGGGCAACTGGAGGCCAGTGGCCACCAGGACTCTGTTGAATTCACAGTGGGGCTTGTGTGCTGATTCACGGTAGGTCTGGCACTCTGTTCTGCTAGTGTCAGAGAAGAGCAGTGTGGATGCAGGGTTTTGCCCGTGCCTTCTCAGTTCCACGTTCAGGGCACAGGTGCCACCAGAGGCTTGGAAAGCATCAGGAGACAGTGGTGATCGCTATGCCATTTGCTGTCCCTGAGTTTCAGAAACTTTATTCAATGTGTGTTATTTATGAACCTCTCTCCTTTCTCGGCATGTGCCGAACAATGCATGGAGCCTGTTAAGTTAAATGTTTACTCTCAGCAGCCCAATTAGCTAACCGTCCTCTTACTGCTCCAGCAGTAGAACACCCCTAGTAACAATCCATCATCTGTCAGGTTAGCCGCAAAGATCTGCCTTGTACATTGGTTGGTGAGCTTGCCCTGAGAAGCCTGTAGTTAAAAAGCCTCTGCAAGTCACCACACCTTAGCTCCAGCTCTAAAAGCAAGCTTCTAAGGGCTGCTGGCAGCGTGTGCCACCCGTGCTGCACATGCATTGCTACTGTGTCATTTAAATTGACCTTTGTGTAATGCACAAGTGAAGCTACTGGGGCTGATTGTGCTGGCAAGATGTTGAAGGGCTGGTGGGATGGTAGAGAGGTGCAGCTCTTCGGCTGCTGTTCTCATAGCTTCTATGCAATAAAAACATCCAGGCAGGCACGTGAGCCCCAATCTGCTCATTTGTGTTTTGGTTTGTCTGTTATTCCTTTTCAAGAACAAAATACAAAACAGTGCTTCTTTAACTCCTCCAGTAATTAGGGCATTTGTGGGTAGAAAAGCATTTCCTGCTTGGAGAACTGGGATACAGCATATTGAAGATGAAATCTGTTGTTCTCGTTCCATTCTTAGTCTGCGGAGAGAATGTATTTCCTGCTTTCTGAAGCAAGAGATTAACTCTCAGTTATAAGGAAAAGAAAGTGGTCTTGCTTAATGCACTGACCTAGGATGTAGAAGATAAAGGTGTGTTTCTTTACTGGCTGCTGAAGTAAGTGTGAACAGGGCACACTACCCCTGTGGCACTTCAAGATCTTTGGAGGGGATGCGTTATAGGATTGCAGGGTCTGAGAGCTATCTTAGGTGGGCCTGGGTGTCCTTAAGCGTAGGACACGTATGTAAAGATGCACATACCAAGGTTGCACAACTTGTATTGTCTCTTCCACAGCTGAGGATGCAAAACAGTACTGGGATGGGGAAAAGCCTGTGATTGTTGCCCTAGAAGGCAGCATAGTGGTGCTCCCCTGTGTGAACCGTAAGCACATCTGGACCGAACGGCACAGTGAAGAGGCACAACAAGTGGTCCACTGGGACAGGCAGCCCCCAGGGGTTCCTCATGACCGGGCTGACCGCCTCATTGATCTGTATGCCTCTGGTGAGCGCCGTTCTTATGGACCTCTCTTCATTCGTCAGAAGATGAACATCACTGATGCAGCCTTTGCCCTGGGTGACTTTTCCCTGCGGATTTCGGAGCTGGAAAGTGCAGATGAAGGCACTTACTCGTGCCACCTGCACCATCACTACTGTGGCCTGCACGAGCGCAGGATCTACCAAGTCTTTGTGACTGAGCCAGTGAGGGAGAAGAAGGTGGTGAACCTCACAACTTACAACATTGCTCCAGCCATAGGTAAGTGGCCTCTGGAAGTGGTTCTCCTGACTGAGGAAGAGATAAGTATCTACAGTTGCACCTTTGAGCTCTAAAGAGCTCCCTAAGCCACGGGACAGGAATGTGACACATTATTCCCCATCATCACCTCAGGAGGCCTTTGCTCCAAATGCCAAAACGTCCTTGCATTTTCTGTCCCTCCACAGTGGTCTGCAGGGATCGCTTAGTGCCCCCAGGAGGGAGCGTGGTCAAGGCAAACCTGTGCCCTGCAGAAGTATCCTAGACACCACTGAAGCGAAGGTGCCACTTACAGCAATGAGGGGGTTTCCTCTATGAAGGTTTCTCGCATTTGAGCCAGGGGCTATTCCTGCCCTTAGGGCTAGAAAAGTATATGAGGTCTTGCCTCCCTCGCTACTAGTATATGGCTCATGTACGGGCTTGGTTGTTTCTGAGCTATTTCCATTGCGTTGGTGTACCTGGAGCTGCATGCGTAGTGATAGTCGTGAGGATCCTGCTGAGCTGCTTTAATACTGTGCTGTACCAAAAACGGAGTGTCCCACCCATCAGGGTTAATTACCCTGCTCCCAGTGCTGTAGAGACATCATGTCCAGCTCCTGTTTTCTTTGCTCCAGGCCAATTCTGCAACCTGTTCTGCTCTGCAACACTGACATGGCCTAAGGCAAACAAGCTGTTTTTCTAACAGGCTCCCTTTCCTGATTGCTTTTTTGGAGGCGGAGAAGGTGTGGGGCCGGGACCAATTCTGCTCTGCTTTTGCTGTTTGTAACATGCTGCTATTCTCACCAGTGTAGATCGTAAGTGTTTGCTCCCCTTTGCACAGGGGTTTAGGCTATGCAAGATGCCAGACCGTGCAGAATCAAGCACCAGGAATTTTCCTCCACCCTTCGGCTTTTTTTTTTTTTGTCTTAAACCAATTTTCACATTTTCCACTGCAGTGAGCTATCATCTGACAGCCTGTCCAAACTCAAAACCATCATGCTTAGCTCAGGCAGGAAAATAAAACAAAAATCCCAAGTTTAATATTTTTTTAGAGTCTTTTGGGTATAGCTCCTTATTAACATTTTAAAATATTCATTGTGGTTTAATATTTATTGGCTGCTTAATACAGAATTTTGACATGCTTCATACATTTTTAAATAGGTCTATTCTTCTCTAGAAATTGTCTTTTTCAAGTCACAGAAACCTAAACCTTCCTCCTGGGACTAAGGTTGGTGTCCAGAAAACCCAGGCAGTACTAAAGAGAGGTGGCTGTTGGGGCTGAGCTGATGTGGAGGCCAGGACATACAAATATGTGTCCCGCTGCCCTTGAGCCCTATCCAGATCACATTGTGCAGATGAAACCTAGATCTTGTTTTCCAAGTTACCCACCCAGGAATTTATTCCTCTCTTTTCCTGGATGTTGTCCTGCTGGTTGCTGAAAAGTTAGGTACCTGCTCAGAAGTTAGACAGAACCTACAAATAATTTAACCTGCCAGGGTTGTCTTAGTTTGGCAGTGGTGCCCTCAGTGCCGGAGGAGCTTGCCTTCCTGAGAAAAGCCATTTCCACTGTCAAAAAGAACATCCTAAGAAGAGCTTTTTTCCCTTTGGGCAGTGAACACTCAGCTGGGCTGAGAGCACCACACACAAAAATGTGCTGAATCGATGGGAATGTGAAAGAAGCTGAGACGTCCGGAGTGCCTTTTTCAAACCCACTGCTGGTGAGGAGCCTGCTGGGACATGCCCTGTTTGTTTACAGCAGGAGAGGCTGAGATACTGCCCTGTTCCATGAAAAAGTGTACAGAACTCATCTGGGGATATAACATAAAACCAAAATGAAAATCAGGAGATAACAAAAGCACAGCAATGAGCTTTTTCAGCAGGCGGCTATAGTTCCTGGCATAGGTCCAAGGTGTGGAGCCATTTCCAGACAGGAGACTTCATCCTGTTTTGAATATAAGCATGAACTCAATTCTGTTCTCAGGCTCAGCAGTAAAAATGTGGTGTATGTCTACTAATTCAGTGCTTTTTTACTCTGCGTTTGTTTTGGAGCAGGTGACTGAAGAATGGCATCTGTTGTGTCTCATGCTTATTGCTAAACTATTCTCAATCCTCTGCCAGCCTTGAAAAGAAAATGGGCCACGTACCCAGTATTTGTGAGCTCTCTTGGTAGAGAGCGCTCAGTTTTTTCCAGCAGAAGAATCTGACCCTTAACGCTTTGGTAAAGTAATGTAAAGGCACCGCTGTTCTTTCCTCCCAAACTTATTTTCCAGTAGTTAAACCAGATCATGTGAGTGACTTGGAGGCAGGTGGGCATGCCATGTTGAGACAGACTGAAAGATCAGATCTTGGTTACAGAATTAACTGTCATCACCTCAGCTTAAACTCTGATATAACACGAGGATGAGGAGGAGAGTTACCTTGGTGATGCTACTCTAGGAGCTGCCGTGGGTGCAATTGAACCAACCGTTACTCTGTGCCTCAGTTTCCCCAATTATAAAATGGAATATATTCTACTGCCTTCCCAGTGATGCACTTTGAAGTCCACCAACGGTGCTTTGTCAAAACACTACTATGACAAGTATTTTTAATATTACTTGACTGAGTAAGCCAAGGAGACCCAAAGTTACTGAATCTCTCTTTCCACTGTTTGTTGTTACAGTGACCTCTCCAATGTTGACTAAAGTTTAACTCCCCTCCTACCCTATCTTGCAGTGCTGTGGGAAAGCAAAAGGCCAGGAATAGAATGCATTTATGTTTGCTGACTTCTGGCTCAACAGTTGCTCCAGTGGCTACCATCTCATTATGGCAGCTGCTGAAGAAGCCCTTCATGATCCCGAGATTTGTTAAAGTAGAACTGTCACGTATACTGTTTGCAGCTTTGCAAGTGGTTTTTTTGGTTTGGTATTTTTTAGCTTAGCAGCGGTGAAAAACACATACTGGTTTTCAGCACTGTAGCCAGCCAGCACACAGCATCTAGCAATGCCAGCAAAAACTGGAGTGTTGCTGGAGTGGAGGGCTGGGCTACCAGAACAGACCATATGATAAAATCTCTCGATTTTCTAGGACTGCTGTTAGCATTAGCAAACGATCATCTCTGGTTTCAAAGTGTTTCTTTCAATCTGCTGTTGTCTTACTTGATTTTATTGTTGGTGGGTTGGTGTTTTTAAATGCTGGAAATAAACTACCTGACAAACTGGAACCAGTTGTTATGCCAGCAGTTCCAAAAATGTCAACATTTCTCACATTAGAACACATCTGTTAAATGGCATTGTGGTTTTTGGGATGTTTTCCCCCATCTTTCCCCTTATTCCCCTGACTAATGTACAGCATTAAACTCCTGAGAGAATGGTAGGCCAGAAGTCCAGACTGGTTCTTGCCTGGTGCTCTGTGAATGTTCCCTTTTAGGGGGAAAAGGTGTTGCTTTCTGCTCTGTTTTGAAGAGAAAAGCCTCCCCCAGCACAGCGTGTCTTATGGATCTGCTGGATTTGTCCAGTACTCTGCCTGCAAGCAGAGAAGTCGCTTCCTCTTTATATGTGTAAAACATTGACCTATTTATTTGAGATCTAAAAAAATGTTCCAAGTAAGAGTTTTGAGTTACCCTTCCCCGTGCTGCGGAACTGAAATGCTGCTGCACCCACAGATGGAATGGAATCTTGGCTTTTCTTTGTGGGTTTTTATTTTATTTATTTTATTGATTTTTATTTTATTTAAAAGGAAACTCATTCTTTGGCATTGAAAATTCCTCCCACTCTGTAAATTATAACCCTTGGCAGGGAGGGGCTGCTTCATACTTTTGCTGTCTGGAGCCGAAGCAACGTGGTGTGTGTGTTGTAAGGGACCCAGAGGAGGGTTGTGTTACTCTGCAGAAAGGCTTGGGGCTGTCTAGTGTGGCTTCTTTCTGGACTTCCCCTCTGCAATAAACAAGAGCATGCTGACAGCCAGGCAGCAGCAAGGGAATGTGCAACAGCCACTGTTAATCCTTCATGTTCCTGGGAAGTATAATGGTCTGGTGAAGAGCGCAGGCATCTTCCATCTGACAGAGGTGCAGTGTCTTGTAATTTAGGGAGCCATTTGCCCTTTATTTCATGCAGTTCAGAAGAGTTTCTCACTGAACATGCTTATCAGGTCCATATATGGGCCCACCTGTGAACGTGCTTTGCTTTGGATGCAAATTACAATTATCAACCTATTTTCCTTTTCTTCTGCCATCAGATCCGAATGTTGTCAGGGGCCACAATGTGATAAATGTCATCATCCCTGAGAGCCGGATGCACTTCTTCCAGCAGCTGGGCTACATCCTGGCAACTCTGCTGCTCTTCGTCGTCCTCCTCATCATTGTTGTCCTCGTCACCCGCAAGCGCCGGCAGAGGGGTAAGTGCTAGAAAAGACCAGCCCTTTAGTTCTTATAGGGATATCTTACGGCAGGAGAGCTGATTCTGCAAATAATTACTGCAAAGCATAGTGCTGAAGGCAGTGATGCTCTTCTGGAAAACCAGTAACCTACGCAGTCGGGAGTCTTTGCAGGTGCTGATGCCAAGAGAGTTTCATTAGTGTGGTGTAAAAATTTTCAGGCCTTGATTGCCGAGTTGCTCTGTTGTAAGGGAGAAGAAAATTAGAACAGCTAGGTAGTTGCTCTTTACAAGTGGAATTTATTTAGAGCAGAAGGCCCATATGCATCCCTTAGGAACGAAGATGTCTTAAGTCCTTGCTGGACTCCCTGTGCTGGGTGACTGTCTGTGTGTAATTAGATAAATGGAGATCTTTTGGTGACTTCCACACAAATAGTTTTGGATGCCACACAAAAAGCAAATACCAGGGAATGTCTGTCTTCTGCTGTGTTCTTTGCAGTACCACATTCATCCTTATTTACTTGTCAGGGGAATAGCACCGACAGAAAATGGGGCTGTCTCCACTGACTTCAGTGGAGTTACTTTGCAGTCACAGAGGGGACAGGCTCCTGGCCCTGGCCTTCGAATGGAAAAGAGGAGCCTGCAATCATCTCTCCTTGCAGGGTGGGGTGAGACAGGGGTGTAGTTAGATACCTGGCATGTGGGAGGCTGATGAAAACCAGCATCTGATGGATTCAGGCCTATGCAATGAGCTGGGGATGGGCAAGTGCAGCACCAGCGCACAAGAGATGCCAGGTGAGGTCAGTATTTCTGTAATAAATGGGAGGTGGAAAGAAATGAAATATGGCAATTGCTGTAGTTTCTCATGGCTGGTCATCCACAGATCTGGGAAAACCACTGGAAAGCTGGTGAGTAAAGGAAAGGGAAGCTCCATGTGGCAGTGGAACACACATGAATTCTTATGTATTGGAGGGATTGTGAAAGTGATCATTGTAAGCACCACAGTAAGGAGCAGGGTGAATAAGTACTGGGTGTTACTGCGGTCACTGTTATCTGGGAGGGGTTGTTTGGACTGGCTGTGACTGCTCATTCTGTTTCTTCTCCCTGTTTAGGTTATGAATACAATGTGAAGAAATACGGAGAGTAAGTATATTCACAGGTCTATAACTATGATTAGAATCCATAAAAATGAACTTATGGGCCCCAAACCTCAGCTGTCATTAAGAGCCTAAACCAGCTGAGGATTTGGTTAGTATGAGTGCAGCCATGTAAAGCATCAGCTTTTTGATAGGTTTGATTCATTGCTTTGCACCAATTCTTTCGCAGCTTTACACTCTAGTGATCATTAGTGTAACGTTCCCAGGAATATGCACTTGCATAACGATTGCATATCAGGGAGTGACTTCCATGCTGTCAAAGTACGGAAGGAGAGAATGGTCTGTAGGGCTGATTTGGCAGTTGCATTTTTACTCTACAGGAAAAGTACCCACCTGCAATGGCTGCCAATGCTGTTACCTATCTGTAATGCTTTCTCCAGGGAAGCATTATAGAAACTGGAAAGGATTCTGTAATGATTGCTGTGAAAATCACCAGTACTTAGTAGAGAATGAAGTCTTCTATGGATTTTTTTTTTAACTTTCTCCAGATACTTAGCAATTAAACACTGTAAATTAAATTCTCTAAAGTAGCATTAGAAAAGCTATTGTGAAAAAGTGTGAAAGGAGCCAGTTATTAAAGGATGTGACAATACCATTTTTCACTGTTATTTCTTTTTCAGGAAGGATGTAAATCTTAAAGAATTTACAGTCGACACAACAGATCTGACTCAATACAAAAGTGAAGACATCAGGCTGGGTATGCATCAACTAGCAACCATTCTCCAAACCAGGTCAAAACTCATTATAAGTGAGGATTGGCTAATGGCATTTAGATCTCCATTTTGAAATTGCTTAGCCTCCCGATTTTAAATGGCAACTTTGAGAATCTCAACCCACAAGTCAGTGCTGGCAGGGGGACTGCAGCTGGAGGGGGCAGGCCTGACTTTTGAGTTTAACTAGAAGCTGATTGATGAGGTTGGTCAGTCATGAGGCACAGCTTCTGTTTCATCTGCAGTTTTTGGGGTTCTTTGACATGCACCTGAAAGCCAAATTCAAGTGTGTGCAAAACAATGTGGAGTGAGATCAAGATAGCATCTAGAGAAAAGGATTCCTCAAATCTAAGCAGTTTGTGTAGGGAGGAG